TATTAGTTAATTTAAGTTTTTAGAGTTTTATTTTAATTAAAAAGTCCAGAGCAGTAAGTACATTAAAATAATTAAAGTAATAATTGAATGAATAAAAAAAAATTTAAAAAATATTCTACTGGCATTGGTACTCGAGACCACGATTTCTCGGCTCTTTAATTCGCATTACTGCCGTCCGTTAAGGTACAATTTTTATCAGAGCAACTGCGCCGTTATTCCGGCTTAACTTTGTCGTCTGTCTATGATTTAACACTGTACCACTTGAGTTAGCAAGCAGTATTCTAACTATTTTGTTAACACCAGCTCCACCCTTGCATTGAACTCTTCGGGAAAAAATCGGTGTATCATCTTTTTCTGACGGCGTCTGATTTCCTTTCTTCTCTTGCAGGAAACGGAAGCGTTGTAAATTGGCCTTACAAACCTGCAGAGGTGGTGAATGAACTTTACCATTGGCCACAGTGCCTTTCCACAATTTTTGAACCAATAACTATTTTTTTTTATATAAATACATACATGCAAACATACTGGTCTCCCCTCTCTCTGAGTTATTCAGCCTGTGTGTATATGAAGGAAGTTTAATCGCATGATGGGAATACAAAACAATCTTGCTCACTAACCACATGCGAGTCGCTACAGGCCTGACTCCGTTTTATCAAATTTAAATAAGAAATACATATATTCAAGTTACACATAAGTCAATATGCAAGCTGCTCGAAAGTCGCCTAACTTTTTTTTACAAAGCATTTGATCTAAATCGTGCTCAAAACCTCCGTCGCATACTAAGAAATAGCCTAGCGCATCGAAGCATTTTCTTTATTCCATTGCAGTAAGCCGATTCGTAATATTTTAACTAAATCACGTACAACTTAATTCCGGTAAATTAGAAACCTGAAACATATATTAAAAAATCCAATGCAATGACATTTTAAACGGCCAAAGCGCCAGCTAAACTAAAAAAAAAAAAACAAGAAAACAATACCGCTAAGTAAAACGAGTAAGTAATAGCAATGAAAATGCAGAAAAAGTAGCAGCTTACACTTGTATTTCAAAGCTCGAAAAGTTTAAGTAAATAAAAATAGCTGAGGAAAATGTAAGTATTACATGCAAGTATACACATTCATACATATGTATATAAGCAGCAATAACAACAACACTTATGCTTAGATTTTCAACTCTTGCCACATGTCATACCATGACGAATGACTTAATGTCGACTGTGTGGCACTGTAGAATAGTGTGCCGGGATGCTGGCGTTCTCGTGCCACCTCAGGCTTGCTATAAGCGTTGAGTTGGTGACTCTTCGATAATGGGAGCAAAGCAATTGACTTTGATGCTGATGCTGATGCTGTTGCTAAAGTTGCTGCCGGTGATGTTGCAACGCCACGATTGTAAGCCAAGCAAACGAACGAACAAGAAGAGATGTAGTGCGCAGTAAAGTGGGTAGACCGGCGTTTTGAAAGAATGCTAACTCTTACTGGCGGGCGGACGAACACTAAGCAGGCGGCCGGTGACACGCCATACAAGTAAGCCACAATGAATACTGATGAGACTGAATAAATAAATCTCTTCGAAATGCACACAAGTACCTCTGCTTTTGCTGCCGTTCCTAGTGCTTGAGATGATTGAAGCAGCTTTCTTTTTTGCTGCTTATTTATTTTTTTCAAGCGAGTAGATATTTACTTACGCACATGCGCAAATGCGAAATGTGAAATTTGCGGTTAAGTAAACACAACTTGACTTAATGTTGTTCATATGTACATACATAGGTTCACATGGAGCAACAAGCAGCTGAGAGTTATTCAAAAAGTAGGGGAAACGCACGATAACCGTCTAGAGTGGACCAACTAAAAGCCATTACAGTGCGAAAGATGTGTCACTGCGCACCAAATGCCAAAGGCGTTTGCAAGTGACAGCAGCAAAGTGTCGAGTCGTGGACAAAGATGAAGGCAACGCTAGCTGGGTTGGCGCAGAGGTGCTGCAGGTGACAAAGGTGTTCTCTAATAGCGAAAGCATCATTCAATATGTAAGCATATACATATGTATGTATATACTCTGTATGTAAACGCAGACAACCGCGTTTGTGCAAAAACACGTTGTAAGAACGTGCGGCATGAACATGTTGGCGCGCATGCGCACAGCATGTCAATTGCTGATATGATGCGCAGGCATTTACCACATTGCTGACAATTTCCACTTCCATCCATCAGCAAATAATAAGTAGAGAGATGGGTTAAATACTCTAAGTGAATATGTAGCTTTAATGTGAAAAGTGCGCTTGGAAAAGCCAGTAGCAATGTTGATCTTGTCCGCTTTTAAAAGCATCTTTGTCTAAAAGCAAACATATAGAGATATGAATAAACGTATGTGTGTGTTGGAGAAATTAAAAAGTGCTTTTAAGCCAAGAAAGGCGTCGACCGATTAACGTTTAATTAAGTATCTAATTAATATTAATTGTCACTCAATGGAGTAAAGGAAAGACTTCGCAAAACGGGTCTTGCTGGAACAATTAGATTGGAGGTTGCAATTTACATTTTATTATAAAGTTTCAATTGTGCCAGCATACTAGTCAGTCAATTAGCTGAAAATTGAATTTTTCAGCACATCGACGAGTTCGTCAAACTTGTTCTGCAGAGAATTTTTGACAGACAATTGAAGAAATGTAAAACTTTTGCTTCTTGATTGGTGCTGTAACCGACTAAGCGAGTTCTAAAAGTTACGCCAATCGCTTCGCTTCTCTGCCAATCGGATAGGCTAAGTGAAGCAGTAAAGCCAAGTCCTTCAAGGTGATTCCATCGCCGAGGAGGCTTTTCATGTATTTGCTTTTGGCGGATGTGCTGTTAAATCAGTAAAAGCAAAAACAAATTCGCCTTGCCCTATATCTTCCGCATAATCTCTCCCACGATCACTCCAACAGCCACCTCATCCTTGCTTCTGCGTCAAGCACCAAAGACGAGTGACTTATAGACTACGATTTGCATCCGCAGTGGGTAACTAATAAAATATTACTCGTTTATTAAAACTTGTTGAGGTTATTAAAAATGTCGGGAGATTATTTGAATCTAAGCAGTATACTCTGGCGGCTTCACTCGGTATTGAACTAATTCACAAATCCTTCGACGAAATTGACTTGGAGGATTATACAAGTTAATAGTTAACTGATTTATTTTGGTAGGAATTTCCGTCATTCGGTCCAAAATAAATTATCTCACCACCATGTCGGAAAGATCAACCAACACCCACAACTTATCTAATGGTTAACGATGAAATTATCTACTTATTTCTTACTAATGGCCTACCACTATCAACTCAGTGCCACTCAAGCTCAACCTAGGAAAGTGAAAGTACTGACCTACCCTGATAATGTTTTAATTTTAGTAACCGCGTTACTTCTATCTGTGGTGCAAAACATCATGAAAAGAGCGAGGCCGATGGGCTGAGCAATACGACCTTTGAGTGGACCCTGAAATAACGGTAGGAGTGCTTTTAATTGCCAGTATAATCACCTAAAACTAGGCACAGGCACAACAGACACAATGCGAGCTTACCCTACGGATGTCTGCAATGTTATTACAGAGCTATTTCTTATGGACGTCCGCCTCGCGTAATTTTTCGAATGTTATCCAAGATAATATTGGACTCTGATTATATACGACTTGAAATAAAATTACACAGTTCTCATCGAAGCAACGTTAGCTGAAAAAGCCGCTTTCTCTGAAACTCTAAGACTAAAAAAATCTAGTAGTCGGCCATCATGGCTCTGACCTATTTTAAAGCAAATTTGAAGCTGATTAAGTTGCGTAAAAATGCTTTCGATGCTTGCTATGNGCACAGTGTGAGCTTACCCTACGGATGTCAGCAATGTTATTACAGAGCTATTTCTTATGGACGTCCGTCTCGCGTAATTTTTCGAATGGTATCCAAGATAAGACTGGACTCTGATTATATACGACTAGAAATAAAATTACACAGTTCTCATCGAAGCAATGTTAGCTGAAAAGAAGCCGCTTTCTCTGAAACTCTAAGACTAAAAATATCTAGTAGTCGGCCATCATGGCTCTGACCTATTCTAAAAGAAATTTGAAGCTGATTAAGTTGCGTAAAAATGCTTTCGATGCTTGCTATGAGGCCTAAATAGTTGTTGATGATTTGCTCTTAGAAGGCTTAACGAGCGGCTATGCAGCTGATAGAGTCATATACGCCGTGGGCTGGAATGAAGACACCTTTGCCTCTAGATTGCAGTCAGTCTTAAAGCTAGCACAGAAATTGTGCTGTGAATGGACTTAATAAAATCGGTCATCGTTCCATTCACCAAAAGAAGGAAAGTCAGTTTGACTTAGCCGAAATAGTAGAGACGAAGATTGACTTTTCTTGTAGCTATTACCAACAAGGCTACTAAGGTATTTTTACCTGACAAAACCTTCATGGAAACCGATATCCTGAGGCACTGGCCTCGTAGCCTTAATTCAAGAAAACTGGTTCTGGCGTTGTACTTGAAAAGTTTTACCGATTGGTCTGTGTAGCCATTATAGGAGCCATGCGTACTTGTCTAACGGAAATACAGGGAATAATCACAGGTATAACGTCCTAACCATACTAATTGAGAAGGAGGCTTGCTTGATGGCTTTGCGAATTAGCAACTTAGCTAGTATAAAGAGTGGATACGTTCAACGTACGATGCCGTAATCAAACTCACTGAAAAAATGCTACCGAAATTATCTTTCAAAGGGCATACAACTGAAAGACATACCTGCAGAGAACAGATAACAACGATTGGTGAAGGCTCCTAAGTCTGGTATACTGGTGGATCCAAGCTCGGCGATGGCAATGCTTCGCCATTGAAATCTGTGCGTGCGAATGTGGACAACTGCATAACTCTTTTGAAATAATTATGCACGCTCAACAGGTTCACCCTTTCTTGATTGCCGAGAGCAGCGGTATTTAATGGCAACGTGGAGCCGAACGAAGCCTATATAGTCCACAGCGTTTCTGTGGTCCGTAAAAACTTTCTGCGTATCAGAGCTTCACAGTAAGTGTCAGAATTCTCAGATCACCACCCAATGGCTGAAGCCAAAGCAAAGAGGAAGGAATTCTTAACTGCCTCTAGAAGTATCTCTGAACTACTTCTGTATCCTATTCGAAAGGGCCTGAGAACTCTCACAAGCACCGGACAGCATACTGCAAGTTAAGATATCATTCTGGCTCAAATGCTTCGCTGTTAAAAAAAAAAGATTTTTTTGCAGGAAAAAAATGCATTAAAAAGTAACTGACTTATCAAACTACCATCTTAAATGTACATACACATATTCGCCGGCGGATAAATGTCTCTTCTTCAAATNAAAAACCTTCATGGAAACCGATATCCTGAGGCACTGGCCTCGTAGCCTTAATTCAAGAAAACTGGTTCTGGCGCTGTACTTGAAAAGTTTTACCGATTGGTCTGTGTAGCCATTATAGGAGCCATGCGTACTTGGCTAACGGAAATACAGGGAATAATAACAGGTATAACGTCCTAACCATACTAAATGAGAAGGAGGCTTGCTTGATGGCTTTGCGAATTAGCAACTTAGCTAGTATAAAGAGTGGATACGTTCAACGTACGATGCCGCAATCAAACTCACTGAAAAAATGCTATCTTTCAAAGGGCATACAACTGAAAGAGATACCTGCAGAGAACTGATAATAACGATTAGAGAAGGCTCCTAAGTGTGGTATACTGGTGGATTCAAGCTCGGCGATGGCAATGCTGGGGCCAATGTTTTTGGACCAAGCTTTCAACCATATTTCAGTCGGCGAGCTTTGCCATTGAAATCTGCGCATGAGAATGTCTTTGGAGAAAGACAAAAGGGCCACGCTTGTGGACAACTGCATAACTCTTTTGAAATAATTATGCACGCTCAACAGGTTCAGCCTTTCTTGATTGCCGAGAACAGCGGTATTTAATGGCATCGTGGAGCCGAACGGAGCCTATATAGTCCACAGCGTTTCTGTGGTCCGTCAAAACTTTCTGTGTATCAGAGCTTCAGAGTAAGTGTGAGAATTCTCAGATCACCACCCAATGGCTAAAGCCAAAGCAAAGAGGAAGGAATTCTTAACTCCCACTAGAAGTATGTCGGAACTACTTCTGTATCTTATTCGAAAGGGCCTAAGATATCATTCTGGCTCAAATGCTTCGCTGTTAAAAAATAAAATGATTTTTCTTTTGCAGAAAAAAATATTTATTAAAAAGCCACTGACTTATCAAACTACCATCGTAAATGTACATACACATATTCGCCGGCGGATAAATGTCTCTTCTTCAAATATTTGCATACACCTAAATACTTGTTTATACATTTTTATTAGCGTTGTTAAGAACCAGCTTATTTAGCGAAATTGCACATTCACCTACAATCTTTCATTTCGCAGTTTATGTACACCTTTTTGTTACATTTCCATTTTCTGCAATTGCGTGGCTATTCAATTTGTGTTAGCTGCGCAAATTACCAATTTCCAAAGAGAATACAGTTCCAAACACAAAAGAAAAAACATATATACTTTTTAAATATGTATGTACGTACGAAAGTATGCATGTATGTATTGTCGCAATATGTTTATGTGTAATTTGTAAATGAGAAAGGTGATGGCGTGTAATTTTGTTTAACAGGAT